GGCCACATCCTATAAGAAAATTTTTTTCCCCGGTCGATCTGAGACAATTTTTTTTTCGGGGCTCAAAAAAAGGCAGTGTATAACCTTCCTTTTTTACCAAAAATCGACTGCACCAACATTTCTCGGGAAAACACTTTTTCTTATTATGTTTCTGTCACATTTTGTATCGGGAGAATTCAATGTGCGACGTCCGCGTCGGCCTCCTTTTTCACTTTTATTCTCCTGATGCACCTACAATCCGATTAGAGAGCAGGAAATTTCACCTCACCAAAATTTTCAAGATATCAGGAGCCCAGAATCATAGATTTCTCTGTTGTAATTGTTGCCGAGAAGTAGAATTGTGGAAGGATTTATTGATTCAAATCAATTCTAGATTTGGAATTTGTATTTGTTTAACATAAAGAAATATCCACATGTACCGCTTAATGGTAAACGTGAACAAAAATATGTCTGGGATATGTGCGGTAACAACGTGTACATTTTCGATTTTTTTAGATAAAAAGCTAGTGGACAGTAATTTAAGTCAGTCTGAGTGTCACAGAGAGCACGAACCTTGAATTAATCTTCGTTTTAGTAGGATTTAAGCTTGCTTCAAATGATTTGACTTCAGGTGGACACAAGGTACAAGTTCAAATCTTATTTTATTCTTCGTACTAAAATTTTTAAATATTCCATTGCAACTGTGATATTCTATAAATTTTTTTTCTTAAAATGAATGTGATGCGTTTAGAAAGGGCACTACGCAGCTTGATTTAAAAAAAAATCAAAAATTGAACATTTATGTTAACTTTACGGCTTTAACTTGACTTCACTTTCATTTTATCACAACCTTGTCCCAGTTTAAATCATCTTAACAAAAATGGAAGCTCATAAATAGAAAAAAATGCTCCATAAACTCGATCATAAACCTTGCAAAGTGACAATAAATACAAAGCGAGAGGGCGATAAGATTAAAACTTGCGTCTTTCATTTTTCCCTCGTCGCCAGCCGCACGACGACTCAGCGGCCAGTTGTGCACATAAAAAAACTAATTAAGGTGTATCGATTAGGGCCCCTCTTATGCTCTCTTTTCGGATACGCGTGACGGTTTGAGTAGATTAAGTTCTTATTTGGTGTATTTACAAGGGACGGACGTGCTCTTAGTTACGTTTATTAGATTTAGGTATAATCCCGGGCGGCTTTGGTCGAGGGAAATTTTAAGCCCAACATTTGTCTTGCGCACCCCCTTAGAAAATCGCCGATGTCTTTGACGCTACGTGATGTCGCTTTTAGGGATCGCTACAACGTGCTAATTTCGTATTCACTTTAGGATTAAACTAACACTACAGCTACTCACTGCCACCTTCGGTCCGAAAATTGGAAAACTCCAACTCACCTAAAACAAAGACAAAAATTAGAGATAGGAAAGTTGTGTGTTAGGGGAATGCGATGTGAACGAGATTATTTAAACAGGAGGGGTGTAAATGGGCCATTCAGTTTACTCTCCGCTGAACAGTTTCGTTGCGTAGCGGCCATAAAATGAGATTGAATAGTTTATCTCTCGTACCTTGCCGTGTAATACTCGAAGAACGCGATGAGTACTTCTAGAGACCTCGAAAAAGCGGCCCACATCGTGCATCATGGTTCACCTCATGAGCCGAAACCGCCAAACATGTATTCGAGCACTCGCGTTTTATTCGTCAGTTAAAGCCGATCGCTCGCCCTTTACGGCCATAATCGCATTTGAGGTTAGCTTTTTAGACGCCTGTCGACGCGAGCTCGCATTAAATTAACAAAGGCGATGCGGGCTGAATGCAATAATCGTCAGATAAAAGATTCATTTGCTGCACGTAATTGACGTACCTACATCCCGCTCTGCAAACTTGACAGTTCTGACGTGAATTGTAGGAGGGAGCACTTGTAGATACGGGTTACAAGCGGCGGCGATGGAGAGAGAGAGCGTTTTTGTTAGTTAAATTAGACTTGCAGAACATTTAATTATAAAGTCATTGTTGCGAACTTCCATTTCAGTGGATTGAAATAATAATCACACATTCACAATGGTGGCTCTGTTCTATTGAGAAAAATATTCACTCAATCGTCTCGACTGGGAGGGAAAAAAACAGATTAGAGATTTGCTTACTTTTTATGGAGCCCTTTTTTACGGGTCACGACGAAAGGCTAGCATTAACGAAATATGCAGAGAGTTAGTTCGTTTCATTGGAATTTGTATCTTGGTGTTGTTTTTCTTTTTAGAAATTTTGTAAATGTGTTGTTTTTGTTTAATTTTTATATCTTGTAATTTACTCAATTTTGATAAGGTGTTAGAAGTAAGACACATCTGGTCGTTTGCGATAAGAACATTTATTATTAGGTGATAACGTGATGATAACGAAGACGCAGGTGTTTCAAAGAATTGCGCGTTTCATTTTGGGGACGTTTCGTCTTTGATTGGCGAATTATTTAAAAATCCACCGTTAGAACAGCCATCGAACATTTGCCATTTTATTTATCAAGCCAGCGTTTGTGTGTGAGTGTGAGTTAAGTGCGCCCTGTATCGCAAATCTGGTACGACCGAATTATTTGTATTATTTATCATGAAACAAAATACTAAGCAATTTGAACAATTTTTATTTTAATTGTCGACCGTCTGCGTAAGGAGTAATATGTTCAAACAAGCTTTGTAAGCTTTTCTTTCCCAAAATTTGTCTAAGGCTTAATCAAAAGTTGTGTAATAAATTCTTTGGAATTCTCGGACGTGGATCGACGCCACCCAGTCTCTCCAATTGTGAAATTTTAAGTCAATATTACAATGGTCATTTAGCAGATGGTGGACGTGTACGAGGGGTGTTTGGGTTATTGGGTCGTTGGACCGTTGAGACTCTGAGACCTTGATCCATGGATAACTTGAATCATATGGGCCTTAAGATCTTGGTACTTTGTGGCACTGAGACGTTGAGATTTGTTACGCTAATCATGACATATCGCTTTTTACCATTCATCCAATCCTGCAGAACATACGATTTTTTCTTGTTCGCCTCGTATATACTAAAAAACGTGTTACTCAACTTCCCTGAACCTTTAAGAATGATATAAATCTTCGAGCCTTAAATCCCTTGAGCCTTCGGGTCGCCACGTTTTGGAGACCGTACGCATATGAACCGTTGGGTTTTCGCGCCTTTGCACCTTTGAGCTTCAGATCTTTGGACCTTTGGCACCTCGAACTTTGGACCTAGTTATCTTGGAATTGTTGACTTCTGAGCCTTTTATATTCAGACGCCATGAGCCTTGGAGGGTTTGAACCGTCGAGTGTTAAATACTTGGATGCTGGTTCTCCGGTTTTTGGACCTTTCAGACTTTGAGCATTTGGGTCTTATAATGTTTGACATATCGGAATTTCGAGACCATTAGACAAGAAGACCAGAAGAGACGCAGACGAGGAGAAAGCAAAAAGACCAGAAGTCGAGGAAGTGAAGAGACACGAATACCAACGAGAAGACGGTGACACAAGGAGGCGAGGATGCATGTAAATGGGGAGAAGGGATTTTATGAAACCAAAGGACCGGAAAATGAGAAAACAGGGAGACGAGGAATCAAAAAGTTGAGAAGGCGAAAGAATGAAGAATCGAGGGAAAAAGAAGACGAGTAGGAAACGGGGAGGAGACTGAGGGAGAAGACAAAACGAAGACAACGAAAAGATAAATACTAAAAGAGGAGTCGATGACCTTAGGAGACGAGGAAACGAGGAGAAGCAAGCGACAAAATGAAGGGACTACAAGAAAACGGGGATACGGCGATAAAACCAGAGGACGAAAAGACGAGAAGGCGAGAAAACTATAAAACAAGAATACGGAGAAACGAGGAGACTAGGAGGAGACGATAAAGAGACATCATGGAACCAAATAAATGACTACACGAGATTTTATGAGGCGATAGGCCGAGAGGTGAAGACGCGGAGAGTTACGAAGTCGAGGGGATCAGGATACGAGAAGGGGAAGAAGAAAAGCGAAGAAAAAAACAGAAAACGATGGAACCAGGACGCAAGGAGAAGAGGGGGACTGGCTCGCGGACTCGAAAGCGCAACAAGGCGAGGGGATAAAGGAACGAGAAGACAACAAAGTAGACGATTAGACGCAGAAAAGATGTCAAGAAAGAAGAATAAGATGAAAGGACGAGAAGATGAAAACAAAAATTCAAGAAAGAGAGGAGATGTGAAAATGAGGAAACGAGGAGACAAAAAACAGCGTGGAAAGAAAATCGAAGAGACGCAGAAGGGATGAGGGAAGGAAAAGACGAAGATGGTACTAGGAGACGAAAAAAATAGAGACGAAGAGGCGAGGATCCTATGAGTAAGAAAACCAGGATACGAGAAGACTAAAAGGCGAGGAGCACGGGATTCGAGACAACCATTACCAGAGAACTGTGGGACGAAAGGAAGAGGAGGTTTAGAGGTTGCAGAAACGAGGAGACATACAAGCAATGAAACAACAAAATGAGGAGATGACGATACTAGGAGTTTAGAAGACGAGGAGAAAATGAGGAGACGAAAAGGCGAGCGAGCGTGAGATGGAGGGAGAAGACAACGGGAAGAAAAATACGTTGAGGGCCTTATGAGACGAGGAAACGAGAAGAAGTAAAGGATAAGACGTGAGGACGAGTAAAAGCGACGGGCTATAAGAAAGCGGGGCGCAAGGAGACGAAAGAAGGCGATAAAACCAGAGGACGAGAAGACGGGAAGGTGGGAACAAACAAGAAGACGTGAAAATGAAGAGACAAACAAGCGCGGAAAGAAAACCGAGCAGGCGTAGAAGGGGTGACGGAAGGAAAAGAAGAACCGGGGACCAGGAGACGAAAAAAAGTAGAGACGAAGAGGCGAGAATCCTATGAGACAAGAAAACAAGGCCACGCGAAGGAGCGAAGTGGAGAAGAGGACGAGGAGCATAGGAAGCGAGACCACCAAAGCCAGATGACGATGAGACGAAGAGACTATGAGGACATTAGGAGTCTAGGAGACCAAAAGGCGAGAAGACGTGATAACGAGGTGATAAAGAAAATAAACGAAGAAAAACGTAGCGAAGAGCCTATAGGACAAAAAAAGGACGAGGAGTGGCGAAGGGAACACAAAAAAGAGACAAAGAACGAGGAGACAAAATAATGAGGGAACGAGAACGAAACGGAACCAAGGGTCGAGGAGACGAAAAAGAGGAAATAAGAAGGCGAGAAGAGTAGACGAAAAAATGATGAAGATACAAGGAGATTAAGAAGCAAAAAGAGAGCACAAAGAGGCCATGAGACGAAGGAATGTCGAGGTGAAATAACAGGTAAAAGGGAGTACGAGAGACAAAAAGACAACGACGCCAGAAGGAGAGGGGAGGAAACGAGAAGACGATGAGCAAAAGAGGAGATGGGAAAGCGAGGAGACAAGAGGACGCCATTTTGAGATTTGACATTACGTCTTTTTTTCTCTTTACAATGTTGTATCACGAATAGTGGTTCAGTATCACATTTTCCCTAAAAATACAACTCATTTTTTATAGTGCCCTGAAAAAACAACGTTTTTTTTGTTGTGAACGAAAGATTTGACAGTTTGATCTTACTAGAGATAACTGTAAGTAATTTGAAGATTTCGTATTTTAAGTTTTATTGTGTTTATTCGAATCTAAACTACGACCCAGATAGGATTTTCACATGAGATTTTTCTATGTATGTCCAAGGTTTATTTCAGGCGTTTCGGCCATCTTGGATCTCCAACTTCTTGCCTCCGTGGAATACTCTGTTTTTTCAATGGATCTGATTCAATGGTCAGTTTAAATGCACCCCCGCCGATAAATCGATTCCTGTAAATTGAGGTCTAAATACTTCATAGCATTTTGGAACTTCACGACATCCAGGCGCCATCTTGTAGAAAGTTATATCCGATCAGATTATGTCAATTCATGTTTTCAACCGAAATTAATTAACCAAACTTTACACTATGCATTTTTGTCTATTTTTCGTATTCCTTCAAATTTACTTTGTGATCGAGTACTCATTTTCCTTTGCTTATCTTATTTCATTTCTAACTGGAGATCTTCATTTGAGAGATTTATTTAACGTAAATTTATTAGAAATTACAGTACTACTATTCTAGTTTATTTCCAAGTTTAATCTGTGTTTTCAGGTATATAGGATCATCGTCTCTTTCGTAGAGCTCTATATTATATGCTGTTAACTTCTTTTTTTTCTTAATTTGATTTTGGGCCCTACGCCGAAAACGCTGAGCACCTTTTTTGCATGTAACAAATTTGCCGTTTGACGTTTAATTAGAAATGCTTAACAACGAGGTGCGCTGTTAAACGATGGTCATAACTAATCGAGTATGCATAAAATCAATTGTCCTCATTATTTACTAATCCAATCAATCATTTTGTTGTCCATGTTGTTTTCGAACGTCACAAAAACAAACAAACAAATAATACGCGTCCTTATGAACCCAATCAGGCAATTAGTTATTTGATAATTACTTAAGCATCAAAAAAGACCCTTCAAATGCAGATTTCGGTTACGCCAAGGGTCGATTAATGAATGTACAAATTAAACAATTAATTTAATAGTTAATCTCAAGCATCGAAACACGACGAGTCAACCATCGCGGGAACGTCGATTATTCACATTAATTTATTGATCAGCAAATTTATTAATTCATAAAGCAAACCATGAATAGGCCATTTAATCGGCTAATTAAAAGTTCATCAATTATCTCAACCATGTCGAACTTGATTGGTCAATTTATAAAGGATGGAATTTGTCACCTTTTACATTACGAGCAAACATCTCGTTTGTTTAGCTCGAAACAGTGACGAAGATTAGAGCGAGCCGTAAAAATACGTTTTGTTAACGTAATTTAATGTTTTTTATTGTATCTGGTTTGTATGATAAATTTAGAACGGGTAGCTAAGAGAACATGTTTACGTGCGAGTTTAAAGTTTTATCTGGTCAGGCGTTGATAAAAATTGATTATCGGACAAGAATTAATTGATTTTTCCACAAACAATGCCACGTGCGAGATAAGCGATGCAGGTGTTTTGTCAGTTCTGGCGACGGAAAGGAATGTTGAGTGTTGTCGGGTTAATAACGATGTTGAATTGGATACGTGATGATCTATAGGTCGGATTCACATCGTGTTGTTCATTCATCACATTATTTCATCATTTCAAAAAGTAAAAGTTAATTTGATATTGTTCTATCGTCTTCTCGTTTTTTCCCTTATCTTTTTTCCTCTTTCATTTCCTCGGATCCTCGTATCCTGATCCCCTCGTCTTCTGGACTCCTCGTGTCTTCACCGCTCTCCTTACTCAATATCTCGTATAATCATTTACTAGGTTTCTTGCTTTATGTGTCTTCATTGTTTCTTGCTTGTGTCCTTCTCGTTTCTTCGTCTCCTTGTCTCTCCGTATCTTCGTCTTATAGTTTTCCCGCCTCCTCGTCTTCTCGTCCTTTGTTTTTATGTCCGTCTTGTGATCTCATCTTCTAGCCTCCCATATCTTATAGTCCGTCGATCCTACTCGTCCTCACGCCTTTTTTGTATTTTTCTTCCCATTGTCTTCAGTTTACTTTGTCCCTTCATCTCACGTCTGCTCGCCTTTTCGTCTCCTCATTTTCTTGCCTCTTCGTGTCCTAGACTCCTAGTATCGTCATCTTCTCATCTTGTTCTGTCTCTGCTTGTAGGTCTCCTCGTTTCTGCGTCCTCCTCGTCCTTTCGTCCCATAGTTATCTGGTTATGGTTGTCTCGAATTCTATGCTCCTCATCTTTTAGCCTTCTCGTGTCCAGGTTTTCTTGCTCGTAGGATCCCCGCCTCTTCGTCTCCACTTTTTTCGTCTACTAGTATTCTCTTCGTCTTTTCCTTCCATCATCCCTTCTGCGCCTCTTCGATTTTCTTTCCACGCTTTTTTGTCTCCTCGTTTCCTCATATCCTCCACATCTCCTCGCCTTCTTGAATTATTATTTATTTCTGCGTCTAATCGTCTCCTTTGTTGTCTCCTCGTTTCTTTATCCTCCTGCCTTCTCGCTTTCGAGTCCCCTTTTTCTCCTCGCGCCCTGCTTCACCGTCTTCGTTTTCTCGTTGTCTGTTTTTTTCGTCGCTCTTCTTCCTCCCCTTCTCGTATCTTGATCCCCTCGTCTTCGTGACTCCTCGTTTCTTCATCTCTCGCCCTATTGTCTCATAGCCATAGATCAAGGTCTCAGAGGCTCAACGGGCAACCGAGGGGTATATACAGAGTGAGTAGGAAACACTTTTTCTTATATACAGGGTAATAAAAACCCAAAGTTTCGAATGTCTCAATGGACTAGGGTTTCGAGACATCAGCAGGGTTTAAAATCTCTAAAATCTCAGGATCTCAAAGGCTCAATGACCTTAGTGAACCCAAATACCCAAAGGCTTAGAAATTCAGATGCTCAAAACTCAGGACTCAAACTTATCAGCTCAGAGACGTAAAGTTTCATAGAGTCAATGTCTCAGGAGGTTAGAGGCCCATAGACTAAGTACTCAAAAATTCAAAAACGCTAAGATTCGAGGGTCAGAAGGCTCAAAGTTTCAAAAATCGAAATCTCGAACGCTCAATCACGGTTTAGAGTTCGAATATTCAAAAAATTGCGAATTCTAAAGCTCAGTGTCTCAGAGGCTTAGAGACTCAAATATTCAGTAAGATTCGGACTCCCGACGGTAGAGGGCGCAAGGATCCAAACACCCAAAGACCCCAATAGTTCAGCGACTCAGAGGTACTGAGGCGTAGTTTCTGAAACTCAAGGACTTCTAAGACTCTAAAGCTCAAAGACCCAAAGGAGACTTAAAAAGTCTCAAAGGTTCGAGAGCTAAGAAGTTTATATACAGAGTGAATAGGAAACACAAAGACTCGAAGGTCTCAAGGCCCCAAAGTCTCCTAAATACCCAAAGGCTTAAAGCGTCAGGACTTAGAAATTCAGAGGCCCAAAAGCTGGATTCAAATATTCGAAGGTGCAGAAGTGTAAAAACTCGATGGCTCAAAGTGTCGAAGACTCAAGAGCTCGAAATCAACAGCTCGAACGCTCAAAAACTCATCAAGTAACCAAAAAACACAAAACCTCATGCTCAAAGATTCAAGGTCTAAAAGTCCCAAACACTTAAACACCCAACAGTTCAAGGGTTCAAACTCGAAGGCTCAAAGAAGAGAACGTGGCTCGAAACTCAAAGAATGGACCCCAAGATCCTGAAAGCTCAAGACTTTAGAGACACTGAATGAAATTCTCTTGAAGTTGTGGACGTCACCCATGAAAAAGTTCATTTTTAATTTAATTTAATTTAATTTTACGTAATTACCTAAAGAGCTATGTTGTTTTAGTTACTAATTGAAATTAATTTTACTTACGGCACCTAATTTAAGTAAAATTACATTCTTGTAAGCTTTTTTTAACGTAATTTAGCTAACCAAATAAAATAATTGACTAAACGAATGGCCGATTCAATCAAATAATTAATCAAAGAATTAATTAATATTCATTACGTGGAAAATTGGTTAATTAATTACGGTCATTAAGACAAAATTTGGATTTTCTAGTAGATTTTGAGGAGAGCACGAACCTGTTTGCGAAGGTTTTCTGAGGCTTAGAATTCGACTCCTGAGGGGGTTAACACCGCCCCCCCTTTCCCGGTCGCTGCAGTTGTTACATGTAACCAAATTATGTTTACCGGGAACATTTTAAGGAGTCCCGACACTCTAAATGAGAACGGCATCTTTGAACTCTCCGCGTTCCGCCCTCGCTATAACGCTCGGCGAAGGGATGCTTCCCTAATTTAAGCGCTCATTTCTCACCCCTACGGCTTATTTACGATTCTAGAGCGGCACGTAAACTTCGCAACATTGTATATTTGCTACAGTAAACACGTGATTTAGTTGCGTAAGGCGAACGAAGCGTCTTAGGGGTTGCGGGGATCCAAGACAATTACCACCCCCAAAAACAAACTGGGACAAAGAATTAATTAAGTAAATACGTATCGATTTGTGGAGAACGAGAGCGAGGTTTCCATCTCGTGGCGCCGAAATATTCAACCGAATTGGCCGCTGTGTTATGATCGCACTTCAAAGGAAAGGTAAAAGGGCTCATCGCAACTGAAGTGCAACACTTAAAACAAAACTGGGAGGCATTGCTTCGTTCCAAACGAGTCAAAATTGGCACGCGTAATCGTGTACAAGTTGCGAAGGGCACTACATTGAAACTTTGTGAATTTTCAAATTTAAAAGCCAATTTGACCCTTATGGTATTGAAATGATACGTGCACACATTAATGTAAGCTGGTGAAAGCATCTGGATGCGTAATAAAAGATTCGTATAAAATGAAACCAATTTACGACACGGCTGTTATGTCTAGTCAATCGTAAAACTCGACTGTAACAAATATTCATAGAGCACCGCGCTTTTATCGCAAGTTTATGACGCCTACCGCTTGCGATCACGTTTGTTCGCATTTTTCGCAAATTGAAATCGGCGGTGTCTGCTGTCAGGAATACTCAACCACGAACCATTAATGGCGTAACCCACTTTGAGGAAAAATTACCTAAATTAATTGCTCATTAAGTGCATCAGTTAACTAACAGGTTTTTCAGCTATGCTTCACTCGGAAACACATCAATTAGAGAACGACTTCAGAGTTATTAGGCACACGCTGAAACTATAGTATCAGGACTACAATGAACAATGGAAATGCCAACAACCTTCTTAGGAGTGCTGTTCTCCTAACACACGTGTTTATCAGGAAAACAAAACGAGCTCCTTTTACGTACTATGATCTACGGCCTCCTCCTTTAAGCAGCATACCAAAATTACAGAACCGAAAAGCAATGAGATGTTTGCAGTAACTACAGTCAGGACGCTTTCTTACAGATTCTGTGCTCCTGATGAGAATTTCGTAGCAGGAGCACAGACATGAAGAATTTGTCACACGCCTTTCATTCAAAAGTACTGTGATAGGATCACAGAAGAACAACGAGGTGCAATACTACTAGGTACTACTACTACGAGTACTATTAGGAGAAGATGAAGAGTTTGTTAACAGACTTTGGACCTTTCAGCGTTTTTGTGACTTTAATTCAGTATTTTTTAAGTGAGGAGAGCTTCTACTCCGAGTCGTCTGCGTATAGGTGGTAATTCTATGATACTGATACATCGTTAGTTAATAGCGGAACTGGTATTAGGAAAACATCTTGTGTGGAAGAGCACATGTCAATAAAGCTTGCAATTTCTTGTGGTTTTTTTAGTGAGACCTTTCTATCACTAGGGTGCAAAATTGGTGCTTGTCAATAGACTTATCGTTTATCTTTCTGCGACCCTAATTTGATTCCTTAAAGGGAAGTTTTACCTCTTATGTGTCTTATCCGTATACCCTTTCCGTACCCCTTAGACCCCGGTACCTTACACTGTCATAATATATTCATATACGTTGGCGGTAGAGGGGGGTGTTCTCCCTCGAAACGGGCAGCTATAAAAGCCCTTTTCAAGAATTTAAGAGCTCTCAACCTTGTTCAGATTATTCAGACTCTTCAGATTCTTCAGATTCTTCAGATTCTTCAGATTCTTCAGATTCTTCAGATTCTTCAGATTCTTCTTCTTCAGATTCTTCAGATTCTTCAGATTCTTCAGATTCTTCAGATTCTTTAGATTCTTCAGATTCTTCAGATTCTTCAGATTCATCAGATTTTTCAGATTCTTCAAATTTTTCGATTATTCAGATTCTTCCGATTCTTCAAATTCTTCAGAATCTTCCGATTCTTCAAATTCTTCAGATTCTTCAGATTCTTCAGATTCTTCAGATTCTTCAGATTCTTCAGATTCTTCAGATTCTTCAGATTCTTCAGATTCTTCAAATTCTTCAGATTTTTCAGATTTTTCACATTCTTCACATTCTTCACATTGTTCACATTGTTCACATTCTTCAGATTCTTCAGATTCTTCAGATTCTTCAGATTCTTCAGATTCTTCAGATTCTTCAGATTCTTCAGATTCTTCAGATTCTTTCTTCAGATTCTTCAGATTCTTCAGATTCTTCAGATTCTTCAGATTCTTCAGATTCTTCAGATTCTTCAGATTCTTCAGATTCTTCATTCTTCAGATTCTTTCTTCAGATTCTTCAGATTCTTCAGATTCTTCAGATTCTTCAGATTCTTCAGATTCTTCAGATTCTTCAGATTCTTCAGATTCTTCAGATTCTTCAGATTCTTCAGATTCTTCATATTCTTCAGATTCTTCAGATTCTTCAGATTCTTCAGATTCTTCAGATTCTTCAGATTCTTCAGATTCTTCAGATTCTTCAGATTCTTCAGATTCTTCAGATTCTTCAGATTCTTCAGATTCTTCAGATTCTTCAGATTCTTCAGATTCTTCAGATTCTTCAGATTCTTCAGATTCTTCAGATTCTTCAGATTCTTCAGATTCTTCAGATTCTTAAGATTCTTCAGATTCTTCAGATTCTTCAGATTCTTCAGATTCTTCAGATTCTTCAGATTCTTCAGATTCTTCAGATTCTTCAGATTCTTCAGATTCTTCAGATGCTTCAGATTCTTCAGATTCTTCAGATTCTTCGAATTTTTCAGATTCTTCGGATTCGTCGAATTCTTTGGATCCTTTAGATCTTCCGGTCCTTCAGGTCCCTCAGATCGTACAGATCCTTCAAATCCTTTGTCTGTATGTATCTACCCCTCTATGCCGCCATCTGCCTTTCTTTGCCTTCTGCCCCTCTCTGCAAGGCGAATCGGATAATATTCAGGAAGGAAGCTTTACACAATTTTAGGAGTATTGAACGAATGACTTCACTTGAAGAAAATTCTGAGACAACCTGAAAAATTGAACATTGTATACAAGAGATGTTCCAAAGTTCAGTAAGTCAAATTTAGTAAGTGGTGAAGCAGAGAAGAGAAAATTATGAGAAGAAGGAGAACAGGAGGAAAAAAGAGACGAGCGGAGAGAAGAAGGGGAAGCAGAGCAAGGAAAAGAAGCACACGAAGCTGCAAAAAGCGGAAGTGGCAAAAGAAGTCGATGATTCTGAGGATGGCAGCTGGCGAGGCAAAAGAAGAAGGGGAGCCAGAGGGGACAGAGAAGACAAAGAAAGCAGAGGAGGTCGAGGGGGCAGAGGAGACAAATGAGCAGATGACCCATAAGACGTAGAGAAAGCAGAGGAAAGAAGAGGGATGAGTAAGAAAGAGAGAGAGTGGGATCCTTCAGAGTCTTAATATCCT